GAATCAAGGATTACGTTGCAGTTGCACCGTGAAGTTGTTCAAGGGATAGCATATTGTGCTTATATTCGTTTGTTAATTAATTAATTTACTCATTCGTTCAGAATGTCGTTGTTAAAAAATTTCATTTCTTGAGGATAAGGTGTAGAACGGAGAGTGATTTTTGATCGTTCCTCACTGAAATCAGAATTGCAAACAGCTTTCTTCCTGTTCTTTGACCTGGGCTTCATTGAATTTAAATGCTACCACAGTGATTTGTATCATCGATGCGACAGAACAAGCGATCTACGTTCGATGTAGCTGGACAAATTCGATTTATTCCGCTTGACTTATAGCGTTACTTATAATTTGAAATGATCGGTCATTCAGGCGATGCATATCCTTGATTGATCAGGTTTCTTTTTGAAGTCGATAGGGTAATTTGTTAAGTAGACGTTGAGGGTATGGCGTGGCGTGATGCGACTTCAGCATTCATGTATACCCATTCGCTCACTCACTCACCCACAATGACGTAGATTCTTAAGAAGGCTGACGATGATGAAATGAGAGCTGAATTTGGCATTTGTTAATGTTGCGATATTAGATAAAACAGTTATTCAACACTTTTCGGATTGGATTGCTGGATTTTTCTTATTTACACTAGGTCTTAACGAACTTGCGATACACAAAAATAAGTTTACGCTGACCAACGGATCTCCATTAATTTAACTTCGGCTGACCATTGCGTAGTCAGTCGACTCTCAAACATGACATATTCTTTACTACGTCATTATGTTTTATGCGCTGAGTTAAATTGAGTGTTCTTCCTCTGTTACAGTTTCGACCTCAATCGACCCGATCGGCTGACTCGTATCCCGTTAATAGGCCTAATGACGGCGTTTTCACTTCATGTGTTTTACGGCTAACCAAACAAAGCAAAAAAAATACGCCATGACATCACAGTGTCTTCAAACAGTCGTTGGTTAGCTGCTACCAAATGGTCAACATGAACACGATGGACACTCGATTCCGATCACGTATGCATAAGCAGAACTTGATTTCTGCTATGTTTTCTGTTTAACCGTGCAAGCCACATTGTCTAAAACACTACTCAACCATCGCATGCGTGTCATTCACGATCCTAATTACAATCATTGTCATATCTTAATCGAGATTATCATCATAATCATTACCATTATCAAAGTCATCGTAATTGTCATGGTCACTAGTCACATGACTGCTACTGTCGTATCGTATAGCAGTTGCAGTGCTACTCGGCAGGGGACATCGGAGCCCACATACTACATGATTATCATATTACTATCATATCACCATGTTGAATTTTCGATCAGCGTTCGGTGGAGAAGTTCATATTTCTATACATGAATTCCGCATTGCTTTGTTACGATTTTGGGTCGTATTTTTGCACTCCTCATTTCACAGCTGGGGTATGGGTTCTAGCTGATGCTGATGAGAAACATCTACTCTTAAAATCAGCTCTGGTTCTTTTACCTCACTGCGTTTGCGTAGTAAATCTGCTTTAGCCATTTTTCTCCAATGTTTTGTTGTGTTTGCTTTTTATCACTGCCACCGTATATTTGTTACTTAGTTTACAGAGATATTTAATCTGACCTGTCCTTAACAGCAAGATGATTTCACTTTCAAGTATTATCATAATCGTAGTAATATCGCTGTCATCATGATTTAAATCTTCTTTCTCCTCGTTATCGTCTCTGATGATGACGATCATAGTCATCAAAGTCACTCGATTCCATCATTATCACCATACTATCCTATCGGTAATGATCTTGATTCTGTAATGATCTTGATATCACAAGATCTTAATTAGCATGATTGACATCATCCGGATTGTGGTCACATAATGATCATTATCATGGTCATGTTCACCGTGACCATCATGATCACTATCATCATGACATGATATATGGCATATATGGGAAACATAATCGACGTTATCTTTATGAGTATCAGTCCTGTATAATTCCGCTTATTTTATTTCGCCTTGTTAGCCTCGATAAGTGGCTTTAATTGGCAGGTAAAAAATAAAGATAAATTTTTGATCTGTATTGACGGTTGCAGTAGACATGCATATAAGGTGGAGAAGCGCATGATAGACGGTTGTTGAAATAGTCAGTTTAACTTGATTAGCTCGGCTGGTCTTCTCAGCGTTCCAGTCATGAATCATATCCATTGCAGCCGATGCACGGTGATTATCAACGTTATCTTCTTATCTCCTTGCCGATCATAATCATATCTTCGATCATCGTCGTCGTCGTAGCTTTCGTCAACATTCTCTTATCGTTCTAATATTTTGGTTTGCACCAGTATTGCCGCACTAAACGACTGTACGTGTCGTTACACCGTCGTGCGCTGCGGTGTCGTTCCGGCACTTTGCTTTTATACGACCCGGGGCATTTTTAAGCACGTCCCGGCTGTACGGCATTTGAGCACCGGCGCCGCATGCAGATGCAACACTATCATATCACTGAGAAGTTACGAGCCGACTACGTCCGCACTCAAACGTGTGATAATCGCACAACAGTCAGTACTATCAGTAACTGTAGTAGTAGCAGCAGCAGTCGGAGTTTTGCACTGCCTTAACAATGCCACGATCGTATCGACTGATACTATCGACTTCTAAACTATCAGTGCCATTATCATCGTTTTAGTTATTTTCATTACGATTGTTATCATGTCCCTGATTGTCATGTCAGTATGACCATGATTTTAGACATCATAACCTTCTTGATAAGCAACATGAAGCTGGTTACTACTAACCCATCACAGTTTTTATCATTATCATCAATTTGCTATGGAGATTATTATATATCATCAAATTATTGTGGTCAAAAATATCGCGATAGCGTTCTACGTTCTTTATCACCACTCTCGTTGTGATAGTCATCAGTCATTTAGTTATCACCATAGTCATGATTGTCTTGTCTGTTCCATAATCTTCTTCGGTACCACTATCAACGCATCAGCATTTCGTCACTTAATCAGCACCAGCTTCACGACAGTCATTCACGATTATCGTTAACACTATCATAGTCATATTATTATCTGCATCAGCGCTGTCATCACAAGCATAATCACATGATCACATATCACAGTAATCAGAATGATCATAGCCTCTATTATCACCACTTTTTATCAAATAGGTTTTGAGCTGATTAACCAGTGGTTACCGTTTTCAATTTATCAGTCAAAATGGTACCAAGAAATCTGTGATTTTTTTTACAGTAAGTTCCGTATTGCTCGTTGGAACGTTTTATCCGGCGAAGATAAGCTAGATGATGTATACCTTGAAATTTGATATACTGGTGGTCACGGAATCTCGTCGCCTTAGGAAACGGATTCTTGGTGGTTCCGCGACAGTAGATTACTTCGTGCTGCCGGGAAGCTAGCATGCAACATAGAAGAACGAGGTCGTCGTCGGCAGATCTGCTTTCGGCGAGAAACTTTCGCTTCTGCGTTACAGTAACCGGTGGCATATTGTAAAAGTGTTGTACAGCTACAGGGGCAGCGGACATAAACCGGAAACCTGCTTCCCATATAAACGGCTGATGTTGATTATTTTAGCAAACAAAACAATTATTACCTTTGCCGTTGTTGTAATAATAAATCACCGTCATGGTAGTTGTCATTATCCTCTCGTTTCTAGCTGCTTTTATCATGACCATCATCATAATTATCGTCCGGATTAGGACAGTAATAGTCATATGCTTCATCGACTGGATTATCTGAACCATGATCTCACGTTATTTTTTTCAACATGGTGACCTTTATCAGCATTGATTACCGAATGACGAAACTTATCATGATACAGGTTGAGCATCCTGAATCCAAGATCCATATTATTTTATTAATTCGCTTCTCAGTTCTGAGTTTTTTTTGAAATATCTTCGGGTAATATGAGCAGCGACCGTAATACTCTTCCCGTTCCTCTCCCCTCAAC